CCCTCAATTTGTTTATATATTAATACCTGCAACACTTGTTCTAATAAACAAATCCCTCTATATGTCTATCTATCAATACCTTCAACACTTGATCTAATAAACAGATCCCTCAATATGTCTATATAGACATATTGAGGGATCTGTTTATTAAAACAAGTGTTGAAGTTATTAATATATAGACATATTGAGGGATCTGTTTATTAGAACAAGTGTTGAATGTATTAATATATAGACATATTTAGGGATCTGTTTATTAGAACAAATGTTGAAGGTATTAATAGTATAACTGAATAATAGTTAAATGAATATAAGATGTTACTAAGTGAAGCACACATTGAACTATGTGGTAGAAAATATTCAAAGTTATGTATCTGACATCCAAAAGTCAACTAATGGATGCATGGCCCCTTACTGTGGCTGAAGTAGTAGTGTATATTGGATAATTATAGAATTGTCTAATAAATAATGGTTAACGACCCCCAATCTTATAATGAACTTAGATATATTAGTTTTATGCATACATATTTGAAGGCGATGTAATAAAAAAAAAGGACAACATAAGGATAATTGTTACGATGTGAACGCCTTTTGTTGGGATACTAATCAATTATATATGCCATAATAATAAATTAATAGTTTTCTACCACATAGTTCAATGTGTGCTTCACTTAGTAACATCTTCTATTCATTTAACTATTATTCAGTTATACTGTTCATTTAACTATTATTCAGTTATCTTCTTACATAAACTGATTTAATTCTCACTAAATTTTAAACACCGCCATTTTGAAATTACTCCTGTAGCCAAGAATATAATATGTTTATCTTTAATCAAGCTTACATGTAATATTTTGGATAGACATGACTTATAGTATTCTTTGTGATGGATTTCTAATCTTTGTGTTATATACAAACTAAGTATTTTTAAAGGTGGAATCTTGGCTTTGTCATTTTAATTTTTTTTCTTCTGTAATAGAAGACTACCCACTACCAGAGACATATCTCGATTCTAAGAATTCCATACAATTTTTAACCCTTGTTGGACCACACACTATTGGAATTCAATTCCTGTCAATTTGTTGTTTCGTCTGCTTCATGAGGTCCATGATGGGCCTGCAGTGGTGGAGGAGTTGGGGGGGGGGGATTCTGCTCATTTCCCTCACCTCCTGCCGACTAATGGAAGGTACCCGTTTTCTCGAGCCTGCTTATTGAGAATGTTGACAGTTAAGACATAGTGGTCTTTTCTTTCCGTACGTCCGGCTGTGTCGATATTGACCTAATATGTACTGGCACGTAGTCTCGTGGAGCACATATTGATCTGCAGCAAACGCTAACTTTATTGAGTTTCTTTGCTTATCTTGGACGCTATCCCGTGGTGTTGACGAAGTCTGCTTCTTCATGTTTTGTTTGTTGTTGTACTTGTTTCCGTGTTTCAGCTGCAGGTGTACCAACCCTGCTAATTGACTAAGAGCCTATTGTTTCCTTTCTTCATTGCCCTCTCAATATTTCTTGACTGTTATTATAGCAAGTGAATTTTTCTCTCGTTTCTATTGGGTTATTTGAAGTTCGGGAGAATCGTCACTGGTAAATTCTACCTGTGTTTCACCTGAATAAACAATAAAACCAAACTATTCTAAAAGTGTATCATACTATAATGTGGATCGTGTTCGGTTCATGATGATGTGGTATAGATCGTGTTCGGTTCAGTGAATTATCCATACGATGGTGTTGAAAATTCAATGAATTATCAAAACGATGGCGTTGAAAATTCAGTGAATTATCAAAACGATGGCGTTGAAAATTCAGTGAATTATCAAAACGATGGCGTTGAAAGTTCAATGAATTATCCATACGATGGTGTAGAAAATTCAATGAATTATCCATACGATGGCGTTGAAAATTCAATGAATTATCCATACGATGGCGTTGAAAGTTCAATGAATTATCTATACGATGGTGTAGAAAATTCAATGAATTATCTATACGATGGTGTAGAAAATTCAATGAATTATCCATACGATGGTGTAGAAAATTCAATGAATTATCCATACGATGGTGTAGAAAATTCAGTGAATTATCCATACGATGGTGTTGAAAAGTCAATGAATTATCTATACGATGGTGTTGAAAATTCAGTGAATTATCAAAACGATGGTGTTGAAAATTCAGTGAATTATCCATACGATGGTGTTGAAAATTCAATGAATTATCTATACGATGGCTTTGAAAGTTCAATGAATTATCCATACGATGACATTTAACTTTCAATGAAACGTTCGTACGGTGATATTGAGCATTCACTGAATCTAGGTGTATCTTTTGTAACCTAATTGTACCTGTTGTTCTATATATTGTATATTGCTGTGTACACAGAACAAAAACATCTAATTTTCAGAATTAAATTGTTTCTCCAAGAGTACATTACAAAAATAAAAACATTAAAGTATTTTTCCTATAAATTTTCTGGTTACGATAGATTACTCCTCAGTAGTCTGTTCTGAGGCGCGTGCTAAACACGCAACATTGTAAATAGCAACTATATTAATATTATACCCTTCTTTGTATAGTAATGATGAAAACTACAATTCATTATCTAGGTGTACTTGATTAAGTTGGAAGGAACTGAAAAATCAGTAATCACTTAAATATTTCTCTCTGTAACTGAGACTGTTACAGTGTAATATATCTGTCACTGAGAATGTTACAGTGTAATATATCTGTCACTGAGACT